ATGGGAAAACAAAGACAATGATAAGAACATGGGAACGTATGATCCATGAATTTGATGCTTTTGTGTACTATTGTCTTTGTACTTGAATCTTTTGTGTACTGTTGTATTTGAACTTGAACCTAGGATGAATCTTTTGTTTCGGATGATAATGTAAAGTAATGTTTGAACCTAGGATCAATCTTTTGTGTACTAATGTTTGACTTGTGTTTTCGGATGATAATAAATATTTTTGTGTACTAAGGTCTTCTGGACGACTGAAAGTAAGGTCGTCTGGACATAAATAACATCTAACTAAGTCGTCTTGAAGTCGTATGTGAAGTCTTTCTTCTAGACGACTTTCAGACGACTTAACTTTAAGTCGTCTGTGAAGTCCTGGACGACTGAATCGAAGGTCGTCTAGAAAAAAGACTTCACAGACGACTTAAAGATAAAGACATAAATAACATCCAGAGAGTACTAAAGACATAAATAAAGACATAAATAAGGACATAAATAACATCCATCTTTGTCTAAAGACATAAATAAAAACATAAATAACATCCATCTTCGTCTAAAGACATAAATAAAAACATAACATCCAACTAAGTCATCTCTAAAGTCCTGGACGACTGAATCGAAGGTCGTCTGGACGACTTATTTGAAGGTCGTCCAGAAAAAAGACTTCACAGACGACTTAAAGTTAAGTCGTCTGAAAGTCGGGTAGAAGAAAGACTTCACAGACGACTTAAAGTTAAGTCTTCTGAAAGTCGTCCAGAAAAAAGACTTCACAGACGACTTAAAGATAAAGACATAAATAACATCCAGAGAGTACTAAAGACATAAATAAAGACATAAATAAGGACATAAATAACATCCATCTTCGTCTAAAGACATAAATAAAAACATAACATCCAACTAAGTCGTCTGTAAGTCGTCTTTGAAGTTTTTTTCTGGACGACTTGCAGACGACTTAACTTTAAGTCGTCTGTGAAGTTTTTTTCTGGACGACCGAATCGAAGGTCGTCTGGACGACTTACTCTAAGGCTATTCTTCAACCGGGTTCTTACATTGTGGACGCTTATGGCCCGTTTCTTTGCATCCTGAGCACCTATAAACCCTGTGTTGCTTCCGGGGTTTGTGTCCTCTCATCCTGGATAGCTCCAACCATGATTGCCATCTTGATTTCTTTTGTCTCCCTGGACCACGCTT